AGGAATGCCTATACAAGATCCTAGGGTCATGGGATTAGTAACTATTATTTAGTGACTTTTTCTTCCATTTTAGAATGGCTTCTCACATAAATATTTAAAACACTGAATGCCAATAAGTATAGGTCATGCTACTAATACTATGAGTCTTGCAGAAATGCATAAAAGTCTTTTTAAAAAATGCAAAGCCCATTAGATCCAATTGTTACTAAGGCTCATTGGGAATAGTCATTAGCATTTTAGATGCCTTAATGTCAGGCAAATAGTAGCACTCTAGACTCATGCCACCCTTTCTCTATTTGGTTTCTTTTGCTTCTTATCTTCCTGTTTTTGGGGGGACTAGACATTCATTTCCCCTTTTGGGTCTTTCTTTTCTTGTTGCTTTTACCTTTTCTCATGTTAAACATGTCAGGGAAATAGTATTTGCTCAATTAACTCAATGGACAAAAACCAAAAGTCTCCCTTATTCAGATGTTCAGACAAGGTTCATTTGTAATAACTACATTAATTATTATTAGGTAAATGGATGTTGATACCAGGGTTTAATTTAGGATCTTCACAATGATTCCTTTTATGTAAATGGATGCTATGAAGTATTAGGAAACAACTGCTCTCCTGGTCTTTTTGACCTCTATAATTTGCTTAGGAAGCCCACAAACCCTTCAGGATCAGATTAGATTTGCCAGGTTGTATCCATGAACTACAGACCAATTATATCCATTTATATTAGAGAACTTTGAAAGAATGAAGTTTTGTTGACTAAACCAAAATAAGATAAAGAGATTAACATATTGTACCCCACACTTCAAAAGAGTGCAGAGATGAATTTGTAACTTGTGTCATGTTCTATGCAGGTACTTCATCAATTATGTAAAATGAGTTAAAAATAAGTGAGACAAGTCATACTTATGGTAACCATGTACAAAATGTTTTAGAAAATGCTTTCCCATCTTAGTTTGACCTTTAACATCCTGATGTACAAAAGCTAGTGCAATTCTCTTAAATAATACATTCAGCATTCTATGGGACGGAAGAGCAAAATAAACTTAGAGCTTGGAGGAACAAAACCAAATTTGTTTTTGTGTTTAGTTTTAATGAGTTATATTTGAAATTTTGACCTATGAAAGTAATTTTTCTTTTTTTCCATACGCAGGATGCACAGGCTCAGCGGCCATGGCACACGGGCCCAGCCACTCCATGGCATGTGGGATCTTCCCGGACCAGGACACGAACCCGTGTCCCCTGCATCGGCAGGCGGACCCCCAACCACTGCGCCACCAGGGAAGCCCTGAAAGTAATTTTTAAAGATCCAGTATAGTAACTTTAAATGTGCATATGACGTCCCTTTATTGGCTAAGGGAATAATAGGTAGAAATTTAACTAATAATTAAAGCTATATCTCTACAGAGATACTAAGCAATTACCTGGGTCATTCAAGCAACATTTTCTTTCTCAAATTTAGTCACAATTATCTGGAAATTTCAGGATAATTTATTTGAAGCACAAGTTATTTAGATAATCTTCTCTGGGACACAAGGAATATTTATTTCATTTGGTTTTTACAGAGGGAACACGAGTATGAACTAGCATATTTTCTCTGCATATTTGACTTAGGAAAAATATCAGAAACTCTTACATTTGCAACTTGTCTCAATTCTTCCTCATGCTGATTAAAGATATCCTCCCATCTGCGTTGGCGTCTTTGCCTGTGGGCTTCTAAATCTGATAGCTCAAACTCTTCAGGTCTGCGTGACAACTTTGCCCGGAACCTCTTTGGTGATAGTCTTTTTGCCAATGCCTGCCTTAGACTAGAAACTTTTGATTTTTTCTTCCGTGCTTGTTCTGGTTGAGAGTAAAACACGTCTGATGACAGGTTTTCCATCAGGGTTTGCAGTAGACCAAGTGGCTTTGAGTTATGTGAGTTTGGTGCTCGAAGTAAGTCTCTTGATAGTCCCTCTATCAGTGCTTGAACAGAGCCAACTGCCGGCGTGGGCTCTAGTGCCCAGGCCTGTGCTTGAGGTGACCTTTCATTTTGCCCCTCTACTGGAATGAGCACCTGAGTATCCAAATGTAGTGGCAACAGCACGTGGTGGTTCTGTGACAGTAGGGGCAGGAATACCTGGGCATGTACTCGTAATGACTCAGGTTCCTCTGCTTCTGTCTCTGCCTGTGTAGGCTCAGCAGCCTGTTCCTGTACCTCTGGCTGCTCGGGTACCCCGTTCTGCTCCAGCTGCTGTTCAGGTACCTGGTTCTGTCTCTGCTGTTGTTCAGGGACCTGGCCCTGCCTTTGCTGTTGTTCAGGTACCTGATCTTGCCCTTGAACTTCCTCTGGTACCTGGTCCAGATCCTGCGGCTCTCCTGAGGCCTGGGGCTGGGCCTGAGCCTGCTGCTCTTTGGGTACCTGGGCCTGTACCTTTAGAGGCCTAGGGGCTTTAACCTGAGCCTGTAGTGGCATAAGCATCCAGGCTGTCCTCTGTAGTCGTGGAGGTGCCTTCATCTGCATCTGTAGGGGCTTGGATGCCTTAGCCTTAACCTGAGCCTGTAGTGGCATGAACACCCGAGCTGCCCCCTGTAGTCGCTGAGGTGCCTGGGCTTGCCCCTGTAGAGGCCTAGGTGCACTGTCATGAGCCTGTAGTGGCATGAACACCCTGGCTGCTCCCTGGAGATGCTGAAGGGCCTGAACCTGTGGCTCTTCTCGATCAGGTAACCACCTTGGCTGAGAGGGTTCTCCATGCAGGACTCTAAGTGGTCTGCATCTACTGCTGGTAGGCAATCTCAGAAGCTCATGAGTACAAGAAGGTCCCCTAGAAATAAACATACAAATGAATGCTGCACAATTAGAGTTGTCAGTAGAGTGAAGTCATTCAGGGGAAATGCTTTTATTTTAAAAGATGAACATTTTCTGCAATAAAGGTATTTTCAGTAAATCTTTCTTGAATCATTCCTGTAATGTCTGAAAGTCTTTGCATTACTAATATATTCAGTACTAATGGTCTGATAATATACTTGATCATTCTATTACCAGAAATTAAGGACTCTTTGGGTAGTAATAAACACTTTTCCTCAACATTTCCACTCAAATATCTCTTGCAAATACAGATCTGTTTTTATTTTATCAGAAAGGATTAAGTTTTCTGAGTCACATACAACAGTATGGAATCAACTATCTTACATGAATTGCTAACATCAAATTATATATGTAATATGTCTAACGCACCTGAATCTTCTCATGGTATACTGCTCCTTAAGAGCTTCTTCTCTTTCAAAGATCAGAGGTATTCCTTTTTATGAAAGAGGAAAAAAATGCATAACAGTCAACAGAGATTAAGATAATCCACCTTAGTCAATGTGCACCCTTTACTGCTCAGGAAGCTGAGTGAATTTATAAGGACAAGAGGACTGTAACCCTGCATATAACACCTAGTTGGTGATGTAGACAATATCCTTGTTCCTAGGCCTACTTCTGCAGCACGGTGCATCTATTCCATAGAGACTAATTTCTCTCAGCATAGGAAAAAATATTTAGCAATCTGATTGCTGCAATTCTAAAGAAGAAAAATTGAGAAAGGTAAAAAGAGAAAGGGCCAAGAGAAACTAGATGGTTGGTGAGCATGGCTTACAGGTGTGTACTCTGGATTTAAGGACTTTATGGCTTGGGCTCACACCTATCTTTTGTCCTTTCAATGAGAAGGTAAAAATCTAAATTCTGGGTTTTACACTTGACACACTGAAAATGTTTGGCATCTTTCCTGTCAGCTGTGCAGTACTGAAATATAGAAGCTTAAAAATAAAAGACTTTTCTTTTGAATTTCCTATATTAAAGAGTTTGGGAATGCAGCCCCCACCTTTCATGCATCGCCTCAGGGACTGCTAGCCTCATGAAGAAGCTCAGGGTAAAGGCATAGCTGCC